ATTAATTTCCTCTCGTTTTCCTTCCTTGCCCCTCATTTCCCTCCCCTTCAAGTGTGCTGCTATGCTGGAAAGTCCTGTAAGCTGAGGAAAACACTTCTGGCATTTCTGTTGGCAGCTGATCAAGCTGTACTATGTGTTTTCGGTTTCTGATTCTTATAAGAAGCTTTGCAGCAGCTGACTGAGCCTGTCAGATTCGGCGAAGGGTGTGGAACGTAACAGTCATTTGGAGTCAATTGTTTAGCACTGCTACATTGTACACTTGCCATGAACTCCCTGCTCTTATATAGTGTGCATAAAATAGTGTAATTTTCACTCCACTATTGTCACCAAACAGAATTGCATAAATAATAAATGTTTTTGAACAGGTTTTTATAGGTTTATACTATCCCTGTAGAGGGCTCGACAATAAGGACTGCCCTATGCCCTGTGGCCAGCGTAAACCCCGCTCGACATTTGAAAGAACTGTCACTTGCCCGATCTGGCCAGTGTTACATCGTCACGAAAGTTTGTCATTTGCTCGTGTTTTTAAGCCTTTCCAGTTTAAATATTCAAGCGCAAAAAGACACGAAAGAGATCTCAATTCAATACTCGTGCACTGTGTGAGATGTTTTGTGTGTGCAACAGACATCCGAAGCGCGCACACAAAAAAGACGCCCCTCAGACAGAGCGCAAATGCTGAATTGAGTTTTTTTTCTTTCTTTTTTTTCTGTCCTTCTTGTACTTGAAGTCATGTCAAAATGCCCGTATTGGTGATTATCCTCCTAAACAGTCTGTTGTGTCTTACGTGAACGTAAACAGTTGAGAAATAATATGCATGTGTAACAGTATATCGGATCCGTGGAGCTCTTAAAGGGACAGCAACCCAATAAACCTGCTGATGTCTTTGTCTGGTTGTGCCAATGTTGGCACAGTATGACAAATAGCAGGGTTTTGATGCTGCCTTTTTTAGCCTCGTTTTTGTCCATGTGTGTTAGCATTGAGGCAAATCAGTTTGCTAGTGTTGACAGGAAACTGACCAAAAATATTGATGACTCATCCTGTGCGACAAAGATTTTTGATTTTCGGATTTCTGGAGGATCTCTTGACACTTTTTAATCATTTATATATATATATATATATATATATATATATATATATATATATTCAAATAAATGCAGCCTTGGTGAGTATAAGGGAGAAAAAAAACTCACTGACCCCACATTTTTGCACAGTATGTTAAACATCAGCTTTAGTTCACGAATGGCCATAGTGTTTGTCTGCTACTCATTGAAAAGATGATGAATTTGATTGCATTTTTGTTCTAAGCTATTTTAAGTATTATTATAACTCCTTGTTTAAGCACAGCATAAACTGGTATTAGCAATGATGGAGCAGCTATTATTTGCACATGCTTAAGTAATGAGCAGGCAAAAATTCCAGTAGCCTGAATAATCACCCAGGCTCAGATTTTCTTTTGGTTGTCGGTATGAGGCATCTTTTCCCGCCAGGCTCGAGGGCCGTTGGTCAGGTTTTGTTGACTGCCAGAGCACTCTCTATTTTCTTCTCTCTTCCCCCTCTTTTCCTCCCTCACTCTCCTTGTTTAGAACAGTCTTATACGGTATTCCCGCCGAGCATTCAAAGAGCAGGAATGTAGGAAGCATCTGGAGCCTGGTGAGATTACTGAAAGAGCCGGCACGTTGCCATTAGGTGTCCGTTAGAGGCAAGGGCTTTTTTTTTATTTAATACTACCGCTCGATTGGAAAGCTGGCGGGAACTGCCACCTCACTTTGAACTCAAGAAAAACGTCTGCCTGCAAAGCCGCACATATCAGAACAGACTGTGACCAAACAGAATGATGCATACTTCAGATTCTCACTTGACCACTGTTTACATGCTGCATCCTTGATTTATCGGTGCTTTTTGCTTTTTAGATGCTTCAGGGACATTTCAAATGGGTTAGAAGCATGCATAATTTTTTTTGGTATGGTCTGTAAGTGAATACGTTCATTTTGTTAACATTAGCTAATGCATTAGGTATCATAAACAATAAACAATCAGTTTAAAAATGCATTAGTGTATATATAGAAATTAACATTTACCTAGATTAATAAATTAAAAGTGTTGTTCATTGTTTTGTTCATTGTTTTTAATTCATTAAAATGTATCTATTCACTGAATGCATTTTTATTATTGTTGAATATGCAACACCTCAATGTGGCTGAAAACGGAGCATAGGGACTCAAGGGTGGGTGCAGTTTTCCAGTGCCCCCTTCCTCCTCTTCCTCACTGGATCAGAATTCCACAGAGTGGAGAAAGAGACGCCTGTTTAGGAGACTCTCCACAGTTATGCGAAAGTGCATGGTTTGATTGCACGTGAGCCTGATTTCAGCTGTGTGTGTAAGTCATGGATAAGGTGACTGACTCTGAGGAGAAAATAAAGATCCATAGGGAGTTCAGCACACTCAGTGGTGCCTTGTGACACAGTCTAAACCTCTTTGATTTAACCCACTCTTTGTAGAGTAAGTGTGTTGTAAAATGCCAATAAATGCAAATCTGTGACCACACATTCGCAACCCTTTATGAAAAAAAAGTACACTTTAGCATTCTTTTAAAAAGAGTACTTCTGGAAGTAATATATTTAATAAAATAATTAATAATATACTAAGAAAAAAAAAGTCTCATCTGAATTTTAATGCAATTAAATGAAAATATATTAAATTTTCTATTTATATTAAATGCAAATAGCTTTAGAGTGCTTTTTTAAAACCACAAGAATATTTTTATATTCAATATTTCATAACCCACTACAGTGCTTCAATATGTTAATCAATACATCAGAATAAGTGTACTTTAAACAAAGCACAACAAAAGATTATTAAAACATATTGAATAAAAATGTACTTTTAGAATTTTTATAAAGGTTGTGGTAATAATCAGTCCTGAAAGTGTACTCTCTTTAAGGACACTTAAGTGGTATTTATTTCATTAATATTAGATATGCAATTTTAGAAATGTATACTTTGAAGAACACTACAAGTGCACATTTAATACAATTAAGCACATTTCATTTTCACAAGGGTAGTCCAACTGAAATCGTCAGACTAACCGATCTAGATGCAATGCGATTGCACATCGGACATGTATTTCATCCTTCAAATATTTGATTACGCATTGTGTCATGTATACTTGGACAGTAAGATGAAGACTCTACATATGCAAAAACCAGCTGTAGCTTGATCAAAGCTGAAAATGTAAACATGCATACATAACGTGAAAATATAATACATGCATCTGTGTAGATTCATCATTTCTAGCACATTTCTGATTGCCAACTACAAAAACAGTTGCAGTCTCAGTCGATTTGAAATTTGTTGCATATTAAAATCAAATAACCAAGTATTTAGTTGCAACATTCTTATTTATATCCATACTGAAGCTAATTTTTTCGCTTTTGTCAATGTAAAACTTTTCAGTAGATAAGATTCAATCCCAGCAGCCTACATGTAGCCTACTTGGTACACACTATGGCTCTGTGTATCCAAAGCTTGTGCCTTTTAGCAGTTTTCCTGTGAGGGTTTTCTTTTTTAAAAAGGAAGATGTGGTTGGAAAAAAAAATCCAAAAAAAAAAAAAGGAGACATCGTCCTTTATGAGTCCTGTATGTTTGAATGAATATGCCAATGTATTCTAGAGTGCTGCAATTATGTATGCAGGGCCGCTGTGCATATTTCCTGGAATGCAGCACACGGAGCCGTGAAAGAGACTGTGTTTGCTGTGAGAAGACAAAGCCCAGGCACTAAGCAACATGCGTTTAGAACTATGGCCCCTTCTAGGAACGTCCTTGAATGCCAGGGGTGCAGCGCTGGTTTGGGAGCGCGTGCGTGGAGCAAAGGGAGGGGGTCGTATAAGGAGTGGGTTTGTCTCCAGAAAGAACCAAACCTTTCACTGCCTCCAGAGTTTCCTCTGTTTCTGCGGTTACTTTGATAGTCACCTCTCTGTGGGTGTGCTGATACAAAAATTTACTCTGTGTTGCTCAGTGGTTCTTAAAATGACCTTTTGGAGGATTTAGCTGTATGAAAGATTGTATTTTGCAAATTGCATGACATGAGAAACAGTTTATGCTTTAAAGGGATAGGGATCATTTAGTCACCCTCATGGTGTTCCAAACCTGTATGACTTTCTTTCTTCTGTGGAACACAAAATAAGATTTTTTCCCTCTCTCCATACTGTAGAAGTCAATGGGGTCCAATGTTGTTTTGGATCCCATTGAAAAACAGTTGAAACATTCTTCAAAATCATGATGGAAATGTTTTCTCTTTTTTTTTTATCCCTTTTTATTTTAAGGGTGTGTGTTCATCTTTCCTCACGCATTTGGTTTTCAGAATGTTTGGTCCTAAAATAAGGAGGGAGAAGATAAGCTGGTGTGCTTGGCCTCAGAGGACAGCCGCACCTGTTTTCAGTTGTACCGTTAGTCTGATTGATGGGCCCCCTGAACTGGGTGGTCTGGAGTATTGTTTCTGGGTAGTTGTGTGGTCGGAGCGGTCTGACAAATATCTTGATTTACATATAAGAACTCTTCTAGAGGCTTGACTTTTTCAAGTTATAAGATATGATTGTAACTTCAAGGGATGGTTCATCCATTTACTCACCCATATAATGAAAGTCAGTGTGGTTCAAAACAACATTGGACCCCATTGACTTTTATTGTATGGACAAAAAAAAAAAAAAAACATATGATGACATCATCTTTTGTGTTCTGCAAAACACATTATAGTTTGGAACAACAAGGGCGAGTAAATGATGACCATTTTTAATTTTGGGTGAGCTATCCCTTTTATTATTACACTTTTATTTGTACTCCCTGCAAGCCATTTTTAGGTTTTGTTAATGTCTTCTAAAAGTTTGTAGTGAGTTTGCACCTCAAAGAGCATTTTATCTCATTTATTACATAGATTGTCCATACTGTATGTGCTTTGAATGCTTCTTCCATTTGAATATTGTCTCATCTTTGTTTTCTTTGTAGAATTTTCTCATTTTACTCGGCACGATAACCGATGGCAGAGAATGTCGACGAGTAATAACATAGCCCAGGCCAGGAAGTTGGTGGAGCAGCTGAGGATCGAGGCAGGCTTCGAACGTATTAAGGTACACAAGGTTTCATTATTCGGTGAAACATGTTTGCTTTCAACCAATAGCAATAGCTTTTTATTGATGCATTGGAGGTGTGACATAGTGGTTACTACCTTGAACTGTGGTGCTCAAATGAGAAAAACTGTTTGAATACTACATTGTAAAAAAAATCTTGTTAAATGTACGGTATAAAAGAGCACTGTGGTTGCCAGAAATTCACCATATAAAATGCTGTGACAATGTATTTGATATTATGGGATTCCTGTTTTTTTTACAGCTTATAACTGTGTATTTCATGAAGTGATGAAAGGGTAATATAACTATCACCTTACTGAAATATGCTTTTTATATTACAATGTACTAATTACCACCATAATAATACAGGTGGCACAATAGAAAGCAACATGACGAATCAGAGTTTATCATAAGTGGCCTGTCCATAACACATGAGCAATACTCGCATATAAACGTGCACAGGCTCATACACACAAATACAAAATTCCACAAGGGTGTTGACAAATATGACACTAAATAATGCAATAAACAGCAAAAAATGGAACACAAAAAAACATAATGTACATTACTGATAATAAAAATAATATTTATATAAAATAGGATCATATGTGAAGTGTCATGCAGAGACTTTTGTGTGTCCTTTTACTGTTTTTCACCATAGATGATATGGTGATACTTCCTAAAACCATAAATTTGACATTATGAGATATTAAACCATTTACAACTTTTCACCATATATGGTAACAGGTATTTACTGCAGCATTTTTAACAGTATTTTTCTGTTAAAATTACCCAAAAAAAGTACTTTTCTTCCTCCCCTTCATTTCCAGTCATCTTTCTATTCTTTTCAAAGTAAAAGTGACAAAAATAAAATTGGAAGAACGATTTTTTTTTTTTATCACTTGCACTCATATTTGGAAGATTTTCACTCTGTATCACCATCTCTTCCTCTTCCTCTCTCTCTCAGGTGTCTAAGGCTGCTGCAGACCTCATGAGTTACTGTGAGCAACATGCCCGCAGCGACCCTCTGCTGGTGGGGGTTCCCACCTCAGAGAATCCTTTCAAAGACAAGAAGCCTTGCATCATTCTATAGCTACTCTGTCTAGCCCAGCTATCCCAGTCCCACTTTAACCGATGCCCATCCCCAGTCAATGGGCAATTCAGTCCAACACTTCTTTTTACCTGGTATTCTCCAGAAAATAAACGCCACACTCTCTCGGTAAAAACAAAAAGGGGCAATATCTGTATTACCTAGCGTCATGTAGCCCGGCGTTGAGTGAATCTAGATGAATGAATCTGCACAGTACGCCTGTTTACATTCATGCATATAGACGCACTTAACTGGAGGTGGCAGATTTGGAATTTCTAAACTGTTTTAAAAGATTACTCAGAGACTGAGAGAAACTCCAGCATGTTTTTCAGTGCAGCGGCTGACCTTGTTACCATAGGTGATGGAGGAGAGTAAAGGAAGACAGTCATGGTTATGCTGACTGACTAGCTGGCTAGCCCAGTCACACTGTGGTAAACGGTTGATTCGTATTAACCCTGCATTGTTACGTCGAATCTGCAAGCTAAAGGTTCATTTTAGATTTGTATGGCCAAAATTTAATCCAGGTATGCTTACCTTTATCAAAATAGCACATTTCATGTTTTACAAAGGGATTCAAGACATTAACCAGAGTTGCCAATATTTTTACTTTTTTTTTTCAGTCCGTTTGTGAGCAGTAGTTTCTTTCTTTTTATCGATTAAAACTCATTAGGCTTAATGCTTTGTTTTTTTTTCTAATGTTTATACTATATTTCAGAATTCACAAACACTAAGTTATAAAGGAATGATTTTATATAATGGAGAAAATATATTTACCTTATACTATCCTTCCCAACCCCCTCCTAAAGTGCAGTTCTGTATAAAAATTGAGAAATATTAATGTGATATACAAAACATTTGCGGTGGTCAAATTTATTGAAAGCTGAAGGCCAAAATTTGGTATCAAATAATAATAATACATTTTTACAATCCTATTAGCAGAGGCTTTGAAATGCCTCATAAAATTGCGTAATTTTAAAGTCGAAGCCCCTGCAAAGGCCATTTTTGTTTTTTCTCTGAAACCAAACTTGATTGTAAAATCCATACAGAAGGAAAAAAAAAATGTATAAACTTTCTTTTGGATATCTTCAGAGGTGTTAACTTTGAGAATAGCTGTTTGGATTTGTTTGTTCCAATTTCTTCTTTCTATGGAAACATGGAATCTGGTCATTGAGTATGAAACTGTACAGTGTTTGATAACTAAAGCTCATTCTTTCTTTCTTTTGTGGATGTTTTATCTTTTTGTAATCTTTGTGTAATATTTCCGTTTCTTCCATCATTCATATTTAACCATTGAGTTAGTCCTCTTTCAGGCGAGGCAAAAGACACGAGTGAAGGATTTGATGGACTTGTACATGTGATAGTAAATGGGTTACCTGCTCCCTGTGAGGGAAAGTGGAACAGATTGTTGACACAATGCCCACACAAGGTGCTTAAGGCTTTGTTCCAGGCTCGTTTCATGAGGTGACCCATGTTGCTGAGTCTATCTAAAGGGCAAGATGTTCAGTCTTATGCAACAGGCCGTTGGGTTTGGCTCGGCCTGAGCAGTCACATGCAAAAGATGAGTGGCAAGGTCAACCCACAACTCTTAATTGTCCAATGTGCACTCAGCACATGATGCTCGCAGGGATCTGAGAGTTTTTGGGCCACCGAGAGTGACGGTTTTGCATGTGACATGATCCCCAAACAGTCACTCACAGTATTCAGATAAGTGCTAAAAACAGAATTCCCCCACTGTCCCGCTTCGTATGCTGGAAAATAACAACATAGCGCAGGAAAAAGGGTCTCGTTGTGGGACAGAGGGGTTTTGTGCTCCCTGCGGTCCACGGGATGCTATCATCAGCTCCTGTATTAAGAATGACTAAGGCGGGGGAAGGTCACGAGATGCTATGTGTCATCCAGCAGTGAACAACAGAATTGCTCAGTGGACAGAGCTGCTCCAGCGACATCACTTCCTGTCAATCCAAAACGGAGCAGTGGTGGCTTTTTGCATTTCAAAATAACTTGAGAGAGATGGGTACTTCAGGAGAAAAAGCACCATATTATTTAATGAAGGGTTATAATTGAATCACTTCAAGTGTTACATTAGAAAGTCTCTGACTTTTCATTGCTTAACCATGTTATTGCAAAGGAAGAGCCATATTGAAGTCCTCTTTAGGAACAAGCCTTTCAGGCCAAGTGCGAAGTGCTCAAATGTGCTACAAAATTGTGACATTTTTGACCAGCCACCAAACTCGCTGTGCCACATTTGATGGTATTACACTGGAGCAAACACTGTGAAAGTCAGCTAAGCTAAGTTAGCTTGTCAGAATTGAGTTCTCCACCCTCTTGATCCAGTGTCGGGATGCACTGTGCTCCAAAGTATAGCGCTGACCTTAAGTACGCTAACAACTCCCCGCACTTAGGTTTAATAAGACCCCGCAATCATTTAACTGAGAAAACTTCTTGCTACGCTGCGAGACCCGTTGTTTGCGAGCGCTAGGACAAGTGAGCGTTGCGCGCAGCGAGAACACTTAAGGTGCTGAGAAGCCCGTGATACCTTAACCTCAATTCCTCGTCCCCTAACGTTGTTCGGCTTCACACACCATCGAGCTCTTTCATGACCATGAGAGGTGAGATTTAGGCTTTGTGTGGGTAATATCTGTAGCTGAGTCCTTAGCCAGTAGATTTCAATCTCAGCCTGTCCCATTACTTTGTGTTTTTTTTCCTGTGTATGCATATGTATCTTTCTGCCTTGATTATGAAGAAATATATCTATTTTTTGTAATTGTTCTTCTCGGATGTGCCATAAATCATGTTTTCTTGCACAATGTTAATATTTTGTGGATATTGCTGTTTAAAAATGATGATATCGGAAAAAGTAGATGAAATAATAAAATAAAGACAAAATGTTACACTGCATTGATGTGGATCTGTTCATTAAACATGCTTGACTGATTTGTTCTAAGCAAATGGTGTCACACAAACGATTATCTGACCTTGGTGTGGTAAGGTACAATTTATGGAAACACACTAACTTTTTTATTTATTTATGAAATATGTTGTTCAAATATGTTTAGTCCCATTTGTATTAATCCTGAAATGACCAAATTAATTTGCAAAAGTAATGATTGTTTTCAAACAGGTTTCCCAAACAATCTATCCATCTATCTGTCTATCCATCCATCTATCCATCGATCATCTATCTATCTATCTTTTATTTCTGCTCTTATTTCTTTTTTTAATTGCTTTTACTGCTTATTTTTCTGTTCTATCTTTCTATCATCTATCTATCTTTTATTTCTACTCTTATTTCTTCTTTTTAATCATTACATTACCGTGTTTATTTTTTTCTGCACAATAATTATTAGACTACAGCAATAAGAACATATTGTTTTCTAAAGTTTGAATAATATGAATAATCATAAGAAAATAATTTAGCTCAAATATCATGTCAACTATTTCTGTAACAATTTAAGCGTGAATGGATGTTATATGTAAAAAAACCAAATAATTCCATAGAAATATCACATTAATTCACTTGTGAATAGTTTCTTGTTCAACACACAGTAGTAAAATTATGCTTCATGGTGATACTCTGTTTAGAGACATACCAGATGGCAATGTTGTGAACCAATATTGCAGTATCTGTGAAAAATACGGGTTAAACAAATTATCGATTTATCAAAAAAAAAAAATAAAAAAAAATAACCCTTCACATTTAAGATTTAAGGGCACATACTTTGCAATGCATTTTTATGTCATTCATGCTATGCACCTTTTGGAATAGATGAGATCTTATATAATACTCCTGATCTTATGATTTTCATTTTAGACTTGCACAAATATTCCTAATGACAGCGTCTACAACAAATCTCCCGATCTCTGTTTTTGTGCACTAGATGTTGTAGGTCACCTTGTAAGTCACTGTTCTACAGCACAACTATATTTTTTTTAAAAAGACATGAAAGAGAGGTGCAAAAATAAAATTGGAACAGTCTGTTCAAATAAAGCCAGAGTGACTCAGCCAACCAGCAGCTGGTAAATGGTAAACAACCAGGAGCAGCATGTGAGAGAGCGTGACTGTGTTCTCGTAGTATTCTTCCCTGACATGTGAGTATGAAGGGAGTGGAGTCCGAGCATGTGTCAAATACACATTAAAGGAAAGTGCTGGGTAGGGCCTAAACACCTCAGCTGCTCTTTTCAGGGGAGAACAACAGAGCTCAGGGTGGTACATGAAACTGGGGATGTTACATAAGTGGCGTGTGTGTGTGGGCAGACATTGACAACTAGGAAAAAGTGTGCTTGAGGTCAATATATGGGGACATTTGTTTTGGCATGCACTTGCTCTTTTAATCTGCTGCAAAAAAAACCTGATCTTTATGCACAAGGCTTGAAAGGAAAACATACAGCAGGGTGGGGCAGAAAATACAAGGGGGATTATGAGGGACAGACAGTGTTTTTGTGGTGGAAAAATGACAGTGACCACCATCAGCTGTTGTTGTTTTGCACGCTGCAAAGGTGTTGGTTTTTCTAGGATCGAGAATGTATCATTAACACACAGTTGCAAAGCAATAGTTAACGTCTTAAGGGCTTAAGACTGATCCGTGAGCATGTGCAAGTGTATGCATGCTTGCCTTTGTTTACTACGACTAGTGTGCTGCAGACACTGGAAAAACCGCCTGTCGGACAGAGCGGCCAAAACAGAGCAAAACAAAGTTTCAGCCAAGCAGAGGATTGTATAACTTTTTTGACGGTTCTTAATTTCTAGAATGCATTTTGACTTGATTCAACTTCAACAACAACAGAAATAAGAATCATTAGATATAGTTTAGGAGTGTTGAGAGAAATATTTCATGATGTGAATTGCATTTTAATAATGAGGTATGCTAGGGATACATATTGCTGATCAGCCAATATTAGTTATTATGCTATATAAAATATTATGTAATTTTAAAATTACATTTAATGCAATAACATTATATTTCTATAATATTATAATTCTATAATCGGCACAATCATTATATTAAAATTGTGAAATATTATTATAATTTAAAATAACCGTTTTCTATGTTGAGGCGAGACACCCCAGGTGAATAGGGTAAAAAGAAAAAAACCTAATAAATATCACCATACTTCATCAGTTGATTGATTACATTAATAATAGCAAACATTTTTTGTATTACATGTTTTCTGAAATGAGGTGTTGTCTAATTAAATATGCACTAATTTGCATACATTTCTAGAACAAAAATCAGAACATTGGATGAAGTCAGTTTTAAAATTATTGTTTCATTTATTTGATATATTAGAGCCAAAGGTTTTTACAGAGGGGATATTGGATTTCTATCACTCCACAAATCAGAAAATACTGTCAACAGCCAAAAATAATTAAATATTCACAATTTTTTAAGGAATAAAATGTTGTATATAATCAGGAAGATTATATATGAACAAACCCCTTTGTAAAAACCTTCATACTATAGATAAGAATAAAACTGTAAAGTTTGGTGTTTGCAAGTGTTACTGAAGTGGACATTTCTGGCTCAATATAGGAGGAAAAACTCATTTCGAGAAAACGGCCTTTATAATTGAAATCTAGATGCAAATAGATCAAGTGCTCTAAAAGATACAAAAGTGTATGGA